TTATTATATTATAAAATTAATAATATCTGAGGAAACAACTTTTTATTTTCATCCCCTGCGATCATTTTGATTATTAACTACATATACGGTGGACAGTAAATAGGTATATAATCCGTTTATAATAATACACCGATATATCAATGCATCGCGTTAAAACCTTTAATTTCACCCTTTGACTCGTAACATCCCCTCGGATAGAACAAGCGTAACCCCCGTGTAGTTCCTATGTAGACACGTGCAATGTATATCTATATATATCGGTGGCTTAACGCGGACATGTTTATTCAGTAGTTGCCGGAAAGAGGGGGCTGCACCCGAATAACCCGGGGGTGGGCTATCGCGCCGAGTAAATCATTATAGTTGTAATTTATATCACCCATCATCCTATGTTAATTGTAACAGAGCGACGCTGCCCTTCAGCCGCGTCGCGACGCACCGCGTCGTCCGCGTGGTCGCGGCTTGGGAGATTTATGAGATTTACGAGATCACGCGGATTCCGTTGGCTACCGCAGCTTGGTCCATCCCATTTTCAACCTCCCCCCCCCCTCCACACTATGCATCTTCCCTCATCTCGTTACGAACTAATGCAATACCTTGGGGGTTCAGAAAAACAATCAACCCCTCAATTAGAAAGGACATTCAGAGATGAATTCACAGCATCCCTCCGAAAGATTTGCATTCATTGTCAAAAGTCAAGCACGTTCAACCCTTTTTAATAATAATGACATTTTTTACACGGTTCATCCCCTTCGTCCATATAAGTTGACCCCTTCAATCTTAAGTTACATATACGGTAACTGCATCCCAGCATCCTGGTCCAGCTCGGTATGGCATATCGGATAAGATCTCGAATTAGATACGTCTCTACAGCATCGTGGTCCAGAGCTGAATAATTATTCTACATAAAGCACCACGTGACAAATGGAAGTTACATTTTTTAAATATAAATTATCTACACGCTTTTTTTAACTGCTTAATACTACAGTAACTTTTTTTTCTTGTTTATCAGTAGGCTTTGGTATAATCGGTATCCGGTGATCAATAAAATGTATAACAGGCGCAAAACAGTGATAACGACTATGAATATTGC